AGCCTGGTGATGTCCTATTTTTTAATGAACTAATTTTAAATTTTATTTCTTCATCACAAATTGGTTCAAAGAAGATAGAATTTGGATTAATATTAGTTTTTGATTTGATTTTTGAGAAAGGAATTTTTGAAGCCAGATCGCTACCAATATTAACGAAATGATCATTTAATTTATTACACTCAATTTCTATATCATTTTTATATTTATTGATTTTTAAGATATAATATAACAACTCCCATTGTTTTTGTGGATTATTTTTATTAACTACATTGATTTGTTCTTTAAAGTAATTTTCTCTTGCAATTTTAATTAAATGTACTATTTTCGATTTATATGCTTTAGCTAATACTTTATTGTGCTTTAATTCGTTTTTTAATAGATTATTTCTAACTTTAATTGACTCAATTATACCTAGAGTAATCCACGGATTTCTACTTCTAGCCGGAATAAAATAATTATCAGATTTATTTAATACATTACTTATATATTTATCGCATTCTTCATCCACGTATTCATGTGTTGAAGTCTCCATAGTTGTTGTTTCTTGTTGGTGATTCATTGGCTGTAGTCGAAATGTCGTTCAAAAGTTTTCAGCATCAATTCACTGTCATCACAATTTAGACGACTAAAAACGGCTACAGTATGCCCACGAATGAGTCAAAACTCAATAGTGGCTTGTATTTATAGCCTCGAAAAACATGATGCAATATTACACAATAATGACGTAATCTAGAGAAGAAGAACCTTCTAGAATGTTCTATTTGACGTCAGAAAACTTGATATTACGAATTAATACCACTATCCTATAAACGGAATAGCTAATGGTGTGCTGTAATATACTTTTTCATATAATATATAAAAAAAAAAACACGAAAATACCTTGGTTGTTATTTGTTTACAATTTATTTATGATAGGCGGAAAATTTATATTTTCAATTTTTGAAATTTAAAGTATTTTTTTTGTAATATCTGTAATGTTTAAAATATTTATTGCAATAACTCTAAATATCTGTTATAATATATTTAAATTATTGTAATATCTATAAATAACTCTAAATATCTGTAATGCTTAAAATATTTATTGTAATATGTCTACATTTTTTGTAAATTTTCATTTCTGTAATATTTAACAGATTTTATATTGAAAATAAATTTTGGTAAGTGGGGTGAACGTACCTTGCTTACTACTTATTACAAATAAATGTATTAATATTCATTATAACTTAGACAATACATTAGGTAATATTTTACAATAAATATGGTTCTATATACTGTGATGTAAACATACCATGGAAAAATCATAATACAATAATTTTAGTGCCTCAGGTGACTACTCATCACTGAGTGGATAGGGAAACAGAATATGACATAGGTATTAAATACTTAAATAATGAATAAAAGACGAACATCTCTATAACTATTCAGTACAGTAGTTTATACATACCTGTTTCCTGTGATGTTTTAAATACTTCAAGACAAATTACATGTTTAAACTCTTATTAATTGATGTAAAGGTAAACTGAATAACGTGGGTTGGATTGTACAGTCTTTAGAGGAATTTTGAATTTTTAACCTAACTTTCCATTATTATTGATGTGTCATTATGACGTTATGATGGCAATATTATGTCAGTATGTTCGGTATAATTATTGTGGCAATGACGCCAATAGAAATTATTTATATATAATTTTAAAACAATATAATTTACAACAATTACTGTGTAACATAGGGCGACATCTACTTGACGGTTTCGGTGCAATGTTACGATACCCCTGAACTTTTATGAAATGCAACACAACGTACAAGGCTTCTTATCACTTATCGTCCGAGTAAATAGTCCCCTAGCTATGGTCCCCCAACTTCACACACGTACACTGTATACAAAGAAATAAAGTAAAAAATAACTTTAAAAAATCGGTTGTCTGTAAAGTCGGTTTACTGACGATAGTTGAACGTGGCAACGTGTTAAGAAAATACTGAAGGAATGGTAGCATTTTTCAAAAGTAAATTTTAATTTAATTTGTTTAATAGATTTGTATCTAACTCACTGTTTGGTGAAATGAATCTAGAACAGAAAAAAATAGTTGTATGCGTAGTTATTATATGTGTTTGCTGTAGAAGGTTGAACCACATATGAGATTTCTGGAGAAAAGTGAGAAGGATGTCTTGAAAACAAATGTGTTGAAGAATGCATAGGAACAATAGTAGGGCTAATAGAAAGGTTTGAATTAGTGCTACCACTACCAAGTTTTTGGTGAGAACTAATAGAGGTGAGATCAGTGGATTGTTTCTTATATTTTGCATGAAAATACAAATTATCTATATCATTCATCAGAATACCTCGAGTGTTCTCATCCAATGATCTTAATTTTACTGCCAGTAAATTTGCATATGGTATACATTCATCTGTTTCTGTAACCTCACTTGGTTGTTCACACACCTTTTTCATAATTGAATAAGCATCATCCATACGGCTTTGAATTGATTTCGTTTCAGCTAATTCTTTCCTTTTTCTTGATACTTTTTCTGTTCCACTAGGGCGTTTAAAAACTTCAAGAGGGGAATTTTAATTTTCTGAATTGTCCTCAAGTTTGTAATACCATCATTTCTCTCTTCAGTTGAATCAATATCAATGTTATCAATTTTACTACTACTATCTTCACCATGAATTAGTATATCTTCTGATTCCTAAACAAAATTAAAATATCAGACTCACTTTTCTCAGTTATAAAAACTTTGTTTATAACATAAGGTCAGTTATACAAGTAAGTTGGTTTATATTTTGAAATTCTAAATAATATTAACTTTTAAATTAAACATATTGGACATTATTAAATGTTTGGATATTTAAATTATATTCTAAACGAAAAATAGGTAGAAAATCATAATTCTTAAAAAGTAAATAACCTCATAGATAATCAACCAATTTTTTTTTAATCTACATTTTATAATTTCTTTGAGTATTATAAAATATAAATAAACAATTTGTAAAAATTATTTAGGTAGTAATTTTTTTAGTTTATTCACTTTGATGTTACTGTTTTAGATACCAACAAATTGTGAAGAATGGTCAAAAGTATCTAAGGAGTATGATGAAAAATGGAATTTTCCACAGTGTGTAGGATCAATAGATGGTAAACATATAATTATTCAGTCACCTATACACAGTGGATCTGAATTTATCAACTACAAAAGAACTTTTAGTGTTGTACTTATGGCTTTGGTTGATGCTAACTATTGTTTTTTATATGCAAATATTGGTTGTCAAGGAAGAATTAGTGATGGAAGGGTCTTTCGCAATACTTCTTTATTTAAGAAAATTGAAGAAAATTATCTAATGCTACCCCCTGATCAACTGCTTCCTTCGAGTGAAATACCTACCTACTACGTATGTTTTCGTGGCAGATGATGCTTTTACCTTTAGTCCACGTATCATGAAACCATACTCAGAAACATATGAGAGAGGTCGTGCTGAAAGGGCTTTCAATTATCGACTTTCAATAGCTAGACGAGTAGTAGAGAATGTTTTTGGAATTATGTCTTCGGTATTCAGAGTTCTAAGAAAACCCATGCTGCTTGAACCCAATAAAGTTTAAAATATAGCATTGGCTTGTGCTTTACTTCATATTTTTTTAAGGAAAAGTAACACCTCTAAAAAAATAAATACTCCCCAAGGTAAATTTGACATGGAAACTGCTGAAACAGATATTCCAGGATCGTGGAGACAGGACCGAGGTGATATAACATCTTTATTACCATTACGTAATGTACCTAGGAGACCAGGAGCTGAGGCCAAGCAGATAAGAAATGCATTTGCTGATTATTTCACTACAGTTGGTAAAGTACCATGGCAAGACAAGTATTGCTAAAATTCAAGTTATTTAATTGTTTTCAATATTGTAATAAATTATTATTAAAATAAAATATTTTTATATTGTATATAAACTTTAAAAAGATATTATATACAGTAAAAAATACACTATACATTTACAATCTAAAATTGACAATCATTTTTTATAAAATACAATTTTTTTTCTAGAATATATTGTACTTAATTGTATAACTACCTTACTTATCTACATTAAATTTAGATCAATACCTATATATCTATTTACATTCAAAGCATTTTTATTAGTTAAGAATAGTTTTATCTAGTTTTTGTTTGTACCTCTATTTGTATTTGTAACATGAAATTGGAACATTATTAATTATTACACTATAGTAACATAGTATAATATAACTACATAATGTATCACTATAATTACCTTAATATATTTATTTACTATTTGCACAAATTATTTCTGATTGTTCAAGTAAACACATTTATTTTACTCATGAGTACCAGAGTACCTAAGTGACCAAAAAATTTAATTAAATGAAAAACAAAACGTTTAGGGTTTTAGGGTTAGGAACCAAGCAGTGCCGGATTTTGAACTCTGGGGGCCCTGGTGCAAATGAAAATTATGGGGCCCCCTTGAAAAACAATTTGAAGTACAATATTATACCTTTACATTCTACTACAAATAAAATTGCATTATAAATGTATGACCTAATTTTAACGTCATATAGATATAGGTAATATAATATTTAAAAGTTTTCTTAAATAATAAATTATTTATTTAACATAATTTTTAATTATTAAATAATAATATTATAAAACTAAGATTCATGAAACATGTATATTTTTTTTTACAAATAGTATATTAGATCTATAGGATCAATTTTTAATTTGTGAAGCAACAAAATAATGTAAATTTAAAAACATTCTATTTAAAAAAAAATTTTTTCCTTGATTTAGCGTTGGCAAATTTATCAATAATCTTCTCAATATTTAGAGTTTTTGTTCGCTCTTTTTTTATATTTAAAATTGCTATACCAGATAAACGTTCTTGTCCACATGAGTTTCTCAAGTAATTCTTTATTAGTTTTAGTTTCGAAAAAGAACGTTCTGCTCCTGCTACAGTAATCGGCATTGTCAGAAAAATTATGCAAGCACTTAAAACATCTGGAAAACTACTTGATAAATCATTATTTATAATAAAACTACCTATATGTTTAATTGTAATTAATTTTTCATATTTAGTTGAGACAAAACTGTATCCAACACAGGGAAAAATATTTTAACTTTAAAGTTT